ATTTATACAAACGCCATTAAGTAGGTCCGTGGATAAACCCACTTAATAAATAACAAAGGGATGAAAGCCCTCTCATTAAGATCTTAAGACGTCTACAAGAAGTCACAGGTAACCTTCGTTAACGGAAGCGAAATTCTCTGTTAGCTTTTAATGACATTTGAGCAGTTTTCTATGTTAGTCATAGTTTTAATCGTATTTATATCTGTTTTGTTATTTTATGTCTATCTGTGATTGTAATATTTATAAAATAAAAAAAAACAAGTAACAGTTACACGACAATAATTAAAAAGCACAACTTTCAATACATTCATTCTCTCAGTTCCACTTTGAATCACTCTGTTCATTGATGAAAACCGCATAACACTTGATACAGTTGTTTTTGAGTTTATCGTCAGTAGACAGAAGTGACATTTGCGTTTACTTTATAATAAGCCCTACATCTGTGTTTTAACATTATTTTCTGTTGCAATTTTTATGGTATAGGTCGGCAAAACCGCGTACGCAATACCTGATGGTAAGCAATCAACGCCGCCCATGGCCACCCGCAACACCAAAGGAGTTACGAATGCGTTGCCGGCCTTTTAGGGATAAGGGTTTTGGATATTTAAGGATTGGGTAAGGATGGGGGAGGGGGAGGGATTGGGCCACCGGTAACCTCACTCACAAGGCGAAGCACAATAGTGTCCAATAGACCCATTCTTACCACAGCTTGGCTCTCTCACACTTAAGTATATAACTTGCTAGCTGCTCTCGCGCGGTTTTACCCGTTACTCAGTTCTATTTAAAGCGTGATGTTTTGTAGCCTATAGCATTTAGAAACATTGTAGCTATCTATCAGTAAAAGAATTTGGCAATCCAACCAGAGGTTCCAAACATTACCCGCTACAAACAAACATACAAACTTACAAATTTTACTCCTTATAATATTAGTAGAAGTAGATTTCTTTCTCTTTTAACGTCCTTATAAAATATTAATATGACTACCAAACAGTGGGTGTAGGACAAATTTAAAAACATGAAGGTTTGATACTAATACTTAAATAATTTATCATTGAAACCTATCATGTAAAATTATGCAAATAACGGGACCCAACTATGGTACTAATGTATAAACGCTCAATTTGTACCTAGGACCTAAGTACCTAGTTATGTCTAAAATTAGAACGAGATCTAACATTAAGTCTATTTTTAGTGCAAACGTATTAAACCTATCCACGTGAACGACCGGGCCCATTCAAATGCCAAGTGTACTGAAGAGGATAATCGGTTCAGAATTTAGAAGTTTCAACAATTTATTAAATTCTTATTCTTCTCTAAGTTTATCTATACTAATATTATAAATGCGAAAGTAACTCTGTCTGTCTGTCTTTTCTTCAGGCCTAAACTACTGAACCGATTTCCGTGAAATTTGGTACAGACATAGTTTGGAACTCGAGAAAGGACATACGATATTTTTATACCAACAATCTGCAGGAAGGAAGAACTTTTCCACGCGAACGGTGTCGTGGGCAAAAGCTAGTATTTAAATAAATGTTTGCAGTTGTAGAAGTTGTAGAGTTGTAGAAGTTTAACTCAATCGGATGAGTATTACTGATCAAGTGTTATGTGAAACAATTTTATTTTGGGCCTCCGAAAACTTTTCTCAGAAGTTGTCAAAACCACGTTATGGTTGCTTCACGCCAGTTGTCTTTGAGGCCGTGATATCAGTGTTGGAACCGAATCGCTCGCGTCCACGTTCGTGTCAAAGCTTAGTCTCCCACACATTAATAAACTGTCAATTTTAATCTTCAAATCTATGTTTGACGTTTATACCTAATTGAAATAAATGGGTTGACTTTGGGCTTATTTATTTGCCTAAACAGATCAAATTCGACTTTTCATACTCAGTAGTATAACATCCTTATTTAGGTGGCTTTCTATTTTATTAATTGGGTACCGTATTTACTGGTCAATGAAAGTATGAGAAAAAGAGATTAATCATTAATTCGTGTAATTATATTTGGCAGACAAAACTTTGAAATAATCAGTTATTCCCTTGTTCTAGCTCAACTACCAGGTAAAATTACATTACTCTACACATCCATGCATGCTACCTATTCCCCGATGAGAACCAAGAATTTACTTACATACATTCACTACAAGCTATTTGCAGTTACACGTTTTACGAGAGAAAATCTTACACATCACATAAAAGTCCTGGTGTGACGTCATATTTTTTTACCCTTATCTCTATCCACACTACAGACCCTTACAAACATGTTGCAAGGGTTTCCTTCATACATATTAAGTAGGGAACATAAAGAAGAACCACATTGTCACATCGAATGGAGCGATAAGCCTGGATTTTCATCTGCGCTCGTTTCGTCCCCTATCGCCATCGACCACCGATCAGCCATGTTGAGTGTCGAGCTATCGATAAATCTGTCAACCAAACGGATGATTTTAAAGGGATTCCAATGTGATTACTAGCGAATAATCGTGCTTCTTTGAGCACGAGTGTTACCTATAAGGTTTTGAATTATACTAATGGTGAGAATGTTTTCGGTAATAGAACGATTAACTAAAATTATTACTATAACTATAAATACTACTTAGTACTAAAATTATGCTAAAGTATGTATGTATCGACATATTTTTATAGCCTATTTATATATATTTATTCCGCAGTTTTTCCATTCATCTGAAATAATTACAATTTATGTAATCGTAGCATGTGCTACGGCGTAGCACGTAGCCAATAACTATGCTTTAGTATTATTTCCCGAAATGTATTTGCCTGTATTCCTCTAAGAAGAATTTAGAGTCATTAAATATGCATAAAAATACTACCTAGCTGCACTTTGATAAGTTAGAGAATGAGCTCTAAGCGAGTTCAGTGAAGCTTCAAACTTAATTAACATTTTCCCTGTACGCGCTAAATAGGCACCTAATAAGATTGCAGCCAGTTACTTAAGTTTGTACTGCAGTTCATACGGTTTAGCATTTTTTTTTTTACTTTTTAACTGACGACAAATACTGCAGTAAGCTAATTCACCAATAAAGTCCTTACACCATACCTAAATGTTATTATAAAAACCTTTTTTTAACACAAACTCGAACTCATTACTCGACAAAAAGCTCGACAAATAAAATATAGATAGTGTTAAAGATTAGATATATCGTCCTATTTATATTACAAGAAATAGGTATAATATTTTGTGTACAAACATTTAGGTCCTTTTTTGTGAGGGGAAAATTATCACCGGGACTTCTCTTGCCCATGAGGCAAGTGGGAAGTGTCAGACTCTTACTGACTAAAAATCCGACCGGAACGAAACCGAGGCCGCGGTTTCCCATTGCGCTTACCCTGCAACTCGTGTTAAATATCGGCCCTGTAGTGCCACGGCTGTAATGGTCTATTGCTTCTTTGAGACGCGCGCGGAACTTCTGGTCTGGTTCTGGTTCTGGTCGAGCGGCAAGCTACCCTCGCTCGCCATCCACAGCTCCGGAACATCTAGGTCCTGCTTACTGGTCTTAAGTCAGGTCATCCCGTTTACTTATTATAGGTATACTCTTTGGAGTACCTCAATAATGTATCTACCATACCATACCGTAGGTATCATATAGGTACTTTACAAGGATGATTAATATTCTGAGGATTATCCTTAAATGAGTGGCTAATAAGATTAACGGCTTCTAATATTATAAATGGTAGCTGAGTACTTAGAAAGCAACTTCCCTAATTTTAAAACCGCTAGGAAGGAAAATCAAATGAATATGTCTATATGTGCATGATTTTCGAGAATTGATTCATGATTCTCCTCTCATTTGTTTACATAAATTTTAATCTAGGTAATTTAGTAAAACACTAGCTTTTGTTCGCAACTCCATTCGCGTGGAATAGTGACTTTCTGCAGATTTTTGGTATAAAAACTATCCTATGTCCTTTCTCGAGTTCCAAACTATGTCTGTACCAAATTTCAGAGAAATCGGTTCAGTAGTTTAGGCGTGAAGAAAAGACAGACAGGCAGAGTTACTTTCGCATTTATAATATTAGTATAAATGTTTCCACGTGTCTACTGATTTGACAACATTTTAATAAGCATCGTACATTTATCTAAATATGTAGGTATAGATCTTCTTTACTTATAATAAATCAATTGACAAAAATTGGTTACGAGCAGCCAGTCTCGGGTTCCGTGTTTCTAAAGCCCTGGGGGAGTCGCAAAGCTTGTCAAAGACAGACGGGACTCCAGTCGAGCTTGCACCTCGAGGCGATTTAGTACAAAAGCCACTTTGTGGACATTTTCAGCGACTATTCTTCGTATTATTTTGCCATTTGGTTAGAATAGGTTGGAATCGTAATCCAATTTGTTAATTTTAAACATAGATATATCTATGTTATTATATGTTTAGCATAATAAAGGTCAAGCAAATTGTAATAATTGATAATAAACTACAAAATTGTACTCGCTTGTATTCATTAAGTATCTATCTATACCTAATTATATTCTAACTAATTATAAATTAAGCCATTTAAGTTGTAGACAACAATAGTAGCAATAGTAGCAGTAGTAATCAATCAAAGTCGTAAAATAACCAAAGCACATGAAAAGTTATTGTATTGTATTGTCTGCACAAAAATATATAAAAAAACGCGTTGTTTTAACAATATAAAGCTGATATTACAAGAGTACTTTTGCCTCGTTTTTATATTTACATACAAAAACTATAGATGGCGTGACATTTGCATCACTTAGAAATTCGTAAAATGAAACGAAATGTTTGTTTTTCTAGGTGGCGCTATTCACAATTGTACTGTGAGTACTTTTTTGTTAATATTATATTTAATCCGATTTCAAATATTTTATTATATGCGAAAAGGAAAATGTAATTGTATTTTTCATTTATATTTATACTTGAACAAAAATCAATCCAAAGACAATAGGTGATTCATAATAACTTTAGGAAATCTGGCAACTCTGACAGTTTGATTTAGTTTATGGTTTCATCACATGACCCTTTTATTTTGTTCCCGTGATCAAATTGTGGAAATTCAAAAATAATTACAATGGCAATGGCCAAAGTGGAAATTGACGTTGATGACATGCATGAAAATTCACTTGATAACAGGTAATATGCTTTAGAATTTGGTGTTATTTGTTTAGTGCATTATATAATATGATTTTAAGGCACCGAAGGTCATCGCTTTATAGTTTTGCAACTTGGCAGTCGACGCAGTATCTCTCGATTTAGATTTTATTTTCAAGTGTTGTATTTTAATTTAACGCATTTGTTTGCAGTGCAGATATTGAATATTTGGGCATGGTAGATGAAGGATCTTTTGGTATGTAATATCTATGTGTTTTGTTTTCCTTTTATTTTTATTTTCTCCTTCGTGTATTAGACATCACTAATTTGTTTACCATTGCACAGAAGTAACCCTAATTCGCTGTAACATGTTTCAATTTAATTATTTACGTGCATTAAAGTAGTGTTGTGTGTTATTCAATTAGTGATCAATTTGATTATTATAATTTTCAGGGAGTAGTGAAGAGAAGTCCCAACTAGTATCTCAACCTTACTTGGAGCCCCACGACGGTAATACTACGTATAGTTTCAAAGATATATGTAAGTAAAGCTCTTTTGAAACTAGAATTATACTGTTGTTGTCTATTAGAAGTATTTGTTCCTAATAGGCTATTAACCTTTTCCATTTACTGTTTATTATTATTTCAATTACTCCTTGAGCTAAGTCTTATGTTAGCTTAATTAGCTAAACCTTGCTAAATAATTTAAAACAAATCTAATTGGAGTTTGTGATATATTCAATTTACATTTGAACGTTTTGAAAAAGTGGATTGTTTTACCTGAAGTGAAAAGAGTTATGATGGAAAAAGTATTTAGTCTAAACTTATCTTCCTTATTCACATGGTGTTAATGCAGACAACATTGTAACCTTTCAATTGTAAATATTTTCTGAATGAAGTAGATGTATTAGGTCATTCCCGCTATCAATGTTTGTTTACAGTACATCTTGAGTTGTTTGTATGATGTACTCAATGTAGTACCTACACTAAATACATATTTATAAATGTTGTTATAATTTTATCATCCTAATTATAACTTTGAATGTTATCATAACACATACTTAGTAGATAAATTCTTCCTGAAGTATATCATGATACTTATCATGTTTCTATTCAAAGATAGGAAGTAGAAAAGCTTTACTTTTTACCAACTTTAAATTTATATTTGTTATATTATTCAACTTAATTATTTTATTATACACCTAATTTAGTATGTAAATTTAAAATAGCATTTTAAGTTTTAAATTGGTATAAAATCCAGTATTAAAATATTTGTTTTTAATATCATGTGTGCCATAATATTTTGGCAGATAAGCATAGGCCTATAAATTGATTTACCTTGTTTGTTATGGTCATAATTATGATAATTCATACAACAACACATCTGCATAGGTATCAACTTAAAGCACAGATGTCATTTTAACAAAACAACATAATAAAATTAAAACAATTTATGTTTATTTTCAGCTGGTGCAGTCAAGTACAAATTAATAACTATGACAGGTGAAGAAGCTGGTATCAACATCACTCATTCACCATCTCCTGGTAAGGATTTTTGAATAAGATATTTTTCTTTCTAACCATTTAGGGATAACATTATCAACAATTCAGGTCCATTGCTATATTGCTCATACTTATTTGTGACCATTGTAAAAGTTTGTTGAGCTTGGTTACAATTTAAAAAGATCCAGATTTAGCAGAGATTGCTAGGTCTGTGAATATGTAGTCCTTCAATTGGCTATGAAAATGTCTGCAGGAAGTATAAGGGTGTTTAGAAATGTGTAACACTAGTCATAACATGACATAGGGTGTAATAACTTGTGTGAGGAATTTTTGTTTATTCTCAACATAGATCAGTTACGATTTTATTGTAAATTTATAAACCCTAATACTCATTTTACTTTTCAGATGCCGAATATTTTGTAATTAGTAATCCTGTAGAAGTTTTTGGTACTACAACTACACCAAAGAAGAATACACGCAGAGATGCTCTACAGACTAAAGCAGTTACAGCCAAAAAGGTTTGTGTGAACTTAAGACAAATATTCCCGCCATATACCTATTATACATTGCAAAAATAACCTATATTAATCTAATTTGGTATTTTAGATTATTAAAAATTATCATAAGGTAATTTTTCATAATATTATTATTTATCCGTAATATTATTTATACTTTATACTTTTACCTGTAAAAGTGTCAATTGGCATCTCATTAATTCTGTTTCTCTTACAGCGTGATGACAAAAGGCGAGCAACCCACAATGAGGTAGAAAGACGTCGTCGAGACAAAATCAACAGCTGGATCTCTAAACTGGCCAACTTAGTTCCTAATTCTGGTCTACCAGACTCTGCAAGTAAAGGGGGAATATTAGCTAAAGCATGTGACCATATTACAGACTTAACTGAGAAACAAAAGAGGTTAGTATGTAATTTAGCTTGGTTCTTATTTCATATTTAATAGAAATTGGGTTAGAAAACAAGACTAATATGATCTCCAATCAATATTTAGGGCTTCTCTATTCATAATTGCTGATAATTAGGTCTTAGAAATGATCATCAAGTGAAGAAAAAACAAAAAGGTTGAAATGACATTCTTCATTGCCATATTGGATTACTAAGTCTTCTACTGTCTCATTCATTATTACATGCAGCACATAGCAAAATTGACAAAAATCCTTTTTTATAGGTGAGTTATTTAAAATTTTATGTTGTTGTAAAAAATCTGATCCATTTTTATACTGTTTCAGATTAGAAAAACTGGAAGTTGAGAATGAAAAACTTGTACTAGAAATATTGAGACTTAACCAAGAGCTGACTGAAGTGCGCAAAGAAAACAGCTCAATGCGCAACCAACTTGCGGATAACTGCATAGTGCTATCACACAGGCCTAAGGGTCAGAAATCTTAGTTCAAAGTGAAGTGATGGACTCGATGACTGACTAAACCAAGGTGCTGAATGCTGTGTGAAGTGACAACTGAATGATTTAAGCTAAGTACACATTGGAATCAATACTGTCACTTTGGCAGGCTGTATTAGTTCTCTATGGTGATATTCAAGCTCTTTTAATCTAAAATCTGTTACTGGTGTAAATTTATAGCCAGTAATTTGAAGTTCAATGTAACAAAGGTTACTTACTTGTTTATTTCTACTTAGTTTTTAATCATTTAATTGATTAGTTAGTTGAATGAGATTGTGGTCTTGCTGTGGCAGCTAGCTGAAACAGTATTGTACCAATGTGTTGTTTATTTTGTCCTATTTAATGTATGTGCGTTGAAGACCCAATGTTTTGTTGTTATTATTTTCGTTTTATGAATATAATTAGTTGATGTTTTAAATTGAGTTTGAGTTAATTGTGAATAAGCAATTTTATGCTATACATTTTGAATAATGAAATACTACAAACTGTTTGTTTTATTTTGCAGTTTTTTTACTCCACTTTAAGTTCACATTGCATAATCATATTGGTTTTAAAGATTGTAGTCAAAACTTATTAGATAAATAATAGATGTGTCTGTGATCTATGGCACTAAAGTTTAGACGCCTAATACTTAGATGTAAGAAATAAAATCCAAAAGAGTATGATTTTAAATTTGTATACATAAATTATGTAAGGTTGTTTATGTACTGAAGTGGTATTCCAAACTGTAAAATAATGTTTTGAGTAAAAAATTGAGCCTTTACAAGCGCCAATTGAAAATTTTACTCACAGATGGCGCGATCTGTTCTTTTTGAACCCTGTTAGATATTTTGATTATCTATGTTCCATCATGTCACACTGAGAAACACTACAATACTACCTAAGATGCATCATTACTTAGTTTACAGTTTAGAAGCTTTAGTAAAATCCGTTTTATATTAATTCAAGTTGTTCTGCATGTGATGTCACATGCTCTTGTATATCACTGGTTAAAACTGAACAAAAGTATATTTAAATAAAAAAACTTGGACCCCATTTGCACTGAATGATGGCTAACTTATTATCAAAACAATAATTTATATTATTATTTATTAACTTCCTTCGTGCTAATGGGTCCAATACATGTATGAATGTTCTAAAGTAACTATGTATGTTGTTCTAGTTATACATTTTTATATGATACTAGTTATAGCCACTTACAAAATTGTAAGTATAGTACTAAAGTAGGGTATGCTAGCTTTAAGAGTTGATTTGTTCTTAATTTAAAAATTGGCTTACAATTGCATTTAAATCCTCATACAAACGAATCACATACTGTATACCAGTCATGTTGCAGAATGAATCAGGTATTTTGTATTCATTTTTTATGTAGCACAGTCCTACTTGAATATAATCAGGTGTTGTTGAATATTGTGTTTTATTGCTAACATATTTTCTATTTATCACATTCACATATTTATGATGTTTTCATATAGTATGGCATATCTGACATCTTGTAGTTAAGCCATTACATGTAGTTTAGTTCAAATTAAAATCAGAGGTACAAATTAAAACAAATGTTACATTTTAAATTGAAATATATATTTTGTATATATCATATTTTCTTAATTACTCAGTTCGGTTTCCAAAAACGGCAACTGCTTTTTAATGGAATCGTTATCTCCCGTAGCGTATATTACAGTGATATCTGTATTTGCCACTACTAATTTATTTTTTACTTCTTTCTTATTTTCACTTGGTTTCGGTCGGCACTTGTTTTTCATAATATGTAGAGAAACATTACATTTCCTTTTGAATTTTAGTCCACATGTGTCACATTCGTATTTCCTTTCACCTGCAAAAAGGTTAGTAAATATCTGATTACTCTATTACCTACAAAACGAGGTTTTTCTTTAGTCTATGTCAAACCATTAAGCCAGCTTTTGTATTTCAATTTTAAGGTAGGTGAGAATAAGATGCAAAATACAAAACCTGGCTACCCACTACAGGAACCTCTATCTCTTGTAAAGAGCTCAAAGCAATGTAAATTGTGTGTTTATTGTACCATATGTAAACCAAAATACTGCAAAAATCAATGTGAAGAGAAAAATAAAAACATTCATTAATTTTAAACCTTTTTTAAATATATATGGTCTCTATATATCTATGGTCAGTGTTTAAATGTCACTTTATAAAATAAGTTAGACCTCTAAATCTCTAAGAATTATTCTTGAAATTCTTCTGTAGGAAAAGAAAACGTTTTTAAGTACTACAATACATACCTAAATGAATTTTAATATGCCTTTTCAACACATCTTGGCGGGAAAACAAACGGCTACAATAATTACAACTGAATGGTGTTTCACCAGTGTGTTGTCTGTAAAATAAAATAAAAAAAATTGTTATAGCCCCCAGGTATTACCAGACAAAATAGTTACTCAAGTGTGGAGCAAACTATATTTCTCCAGTTTATTATATAATATTATAGTATTAGGAAAAAACCAAAAGTTTTACAGAAAGGGCAATTTTAGCGTAATGTATTGTCGAGTGTCCTAGCCGGGTTACGGACAATGCGCAGATAATACTGCAGCCAGGCTCAGATTTGAAATTAGAACGCGTTCTTTAATGCTTAATAAGATTCTCGTCCCACTCCAGGCAGGAGGAAGTAGCACGACAAACAATCCCCCCCCCCCCCCTTACAAATTCTTGTTGTTGTGAAATCCAGGATCAACAAGGGCTGTTTTCAAGAAGTCTAGGTTTCTAAGGTGTAATAATTAGTAAAAATCTTACCTCATGTGAGTCTTTAAATCTGACTGTCTGTAGAAACCTCTGCTACACTCTGTGCACCTTATGGAGTACTTCTTTTCATGCCTTCTCATATGCAGAATGAAGTTGTTACGTTTATTCATTATGGCATTGCAAACCGAACAAATATATTGCTGGAATAACAAAAATAAAGTAATAAATTGAAAATATACGTAAAGCTAATAGGTAAAGAATTGGTTGACTTTGAAATCGCCTTTAGAAAAAAGCAGTTTTATTTTTAGTAACTTTAGCTTCCGCCCAATTCTAAACTCCGACAAGTAGCCAATGTCATATTCTGGAGTGTATACTATGCCTGAGCCAAATTTGATGCAGATCCGTCCAGTAGTTTTGGCGTGATTGAGTAACAAACATCCAAACATCGTAACTTTCGCATTTATAATATTAGTTAGATAGAGATACTAAACTTATTGATAATAAGAACTTCCTCCCATAGCATAGCAGAAAGTACGCTGCTAATTATTTCACGTAAGACGTTATTATCAAGAAGTTCAGCAGTTTCATAGTTTCTGACGACGTGAGCTACATAAACAGCTTTTTACACTACACATCTACATTAACCTTTAGCACAACAATAATTGATATGTATATTTGTAAAATACTAGCTACTCTCGCGGTTTCACCCGCATTTCAGCTCCATTTGATCGTAGCGTGATGTTTCATAGCCTATAGCACTCAGGAACATTGTAGATATCTATCAGTGAAAGAATTTTGGCAATCCGACCAGCAGTTCCAAAGATTACCACCTACATACAAACTTACAAATTTTACCTCTTTATAATATTAGTATAGAAATACGAATAAAGCGATCATAAAATACATTTACTTTTTCAGACTTCTGCCTTGTCGAATGGTTTCTCTTATGTTTCTTCAGTTTACTTTGTGAAGTAAAAGATTCCGCACAAACATCACAATTTATCTTGACCTTAGGTTTCTGTAAAAAATATAATAATCACCTATAAAATTGACATTATAACTGCGCATTTTATATTAAAAAAAGTTTCAAACAATATTTTTTCCAGCAAAAAGAGTTTCCGATACCGGGAATCGAACCCGAGCCTCCTGGGTGAGAGCCAGGTATCCTAGCCACTAGACCATATCGGATATATCAAACCTGGTGAAATAGTAGTAGTGGTGTTTCTGGTAAAAAAATCATTTATTATTTTTATGAAAAATATTTTTTAGTTTAGTAAAAATAAATTGTTATGAGGTAAGTACTGGTATCAAAACTTATGAAATTATAAGGTCTATTTCAAAGTCAAATGGATGTTTTGAATGATATCTTGTGTTCTCAGTCTCATACGCATCAAAATACTTTACGAAATAAGAAAATCTCTTCAGCTTTAAAATATTAATTCATCATACATATTTCATAAAATATTGTATCTGTATGATAAGACCCATTGTTATCATAACATTCTTTCATAGTTCCAATGTATTGCTAGTAGGTACTTAGTGTATGTGAGCAATAAAGGTAAAAAAGAACTTATTTTACTAGTGCAACTTACCCCACAAATATTCAAATGTCTTTTGAAATTTGATATATCCTTCACCTCCAATCCACATTGACTACACAATTTAGTATTTTTATTATTTGTTGGTTTTCTATTAACTTGCCCGTGAATTCTGGCCATATGTATATTGAGTGCTCTTATATTTTTAAATTCTTTATTACAGGAGTCACAATATGATTTCTTATTATTCTCACTGTCATCTTTTACCACATCACTTTTTTCTTTATTATTCTCAATAAGTTCCTTTTCATTCTCTATATCTACCATTTCAAAGTCATTTAGATTATCATTTGCGACTTTAATGTTGATAAACTTTGAGTCTCTTTTCCATTGTCCATTAATATCTACATTAGCCTTTCTGATATCATCGATGTCGAATTCCTTAGTGTCGTTTTGGAAGAATTCTTCGAAGATTTCTATATCGCCTTGGACATTGTCGTACGGTTCTATGCATTGTCCAACATTTTTATTAGTATTCACAACAGGTAATTCAAGTTTCTCATCAAACAGTATATTTCTTATTGTAGGAGTTGAAGCCGCTGACGTTTTTTGGAATACTAAAAGTAAAAATGACTTATTTTTAGGCAATAATGGCTTACTGAAATAATTAAAAATGCTGTAGGTAGGTACTAGTTTCAACTTTTCAAGTCTAAACGGGACTCTTATTCATGATCAGCGCGTTCGTCGCGGTGACGTCGCGGACGTCGGTACGCGCACGCTGACTCAATTGTAATAAACTTTATCTCACAATAAGTTTACTATTCTAAATGACTTGTATGAACAAATACAAGACAAAAACTGTCAAGTCTACAAAACTGTAATTAAACACAAGCAAGCGCGTTGCTTAATTGCCTTTAATCTTGTTCCCTCTTATAGCAAAGCAAGAATTATCTTTAGTCTAGGTTTAAACCATTGAGTCAGGTTTTTTATTTGAATCTTATTTTCACCTGCCTTCAATTCGAAATACAAAAACTGGCTCAATGTTTAGATCTAGGCTGAAGAAAAACCTTATTTTGTAATAAGGCTGTTTAACTCAAAATGTAACTGAAGAAAAATAAGTTTTGCAATAGTTGAAGTTTTGATTATAGCTGTGCAATAGTGTGCAAAATATTACCTGGTGGAGAAACAAGTATTTCATCCAGAGAAAATTCTTTATTGTTAGGATTCTTTAACGCCTCTTCTAAATTCCTATCTATCGTACATGGTTTGTCTTTTAACAAAGCTTCAATATTAATACTGCTGTTACTTATTTCGTTATTAGATTTCACTGAACTTATGTTCTCTGTATAAAAATTCAGGCCACTTGTTCTACCCTTATCCGAGTCTTCAAGCGACGGCAGATCTAAATTGCTTACCGATTTATCAAGACCGTCAATTTCATCTGCACCAAAATCACACATCATTTTCACATCTTCATGTTTTTTTACATTATTATCTAATTTTCTTTTTTCAAACTCATCCAAAGTCATATCACATAATTCTTTTAGACTATCGTTTTTATTACTGTCCGGCTTTTCAATGCCATCTAAGCTAAAGTCGCATAATTCTTTTAGATGTTTGTTTGCAAAATTTCTTTTTAGTTGAACCTCTTTAGTTGACATATCTTCGGTTCCATAATCAGCGAGATCTTTAATGTGCTTGCTGCTTTTGTGAGGTTTCTTTTCTGATTTTATAGGATCAATATCACCAATTGGATCATTTGCTTCATAAGAATAAAATTCTTTAATACTCTTAAAACTTTCTGTATTTCCCACGACTTTATTATCAAAACTATCATGCTCCTTTATATTTTGATCATTTTGGAAAGCTTTTGTGAAGTCGTTGAGTATTCTAGTTTGTTTCTCAGTGTTTACAGTTTCGAAATTGATTTGTTCATCTTTTTGCTCGACATACTTTTTAGGGGTATAGCAGTGGTCATTATTTTCGGTCCTTGGCGTTGAAAATGGGCTGAAACTGTGAATGATAGTGACATTAGTAAATGATAAATAACAAATTAGAAAAGGTTGAGGAATGCCTCTACTGTTAAATTATTTCTTTGTAGTTTAATAACAAAGTGCAACATTATATCACATAACTGGATTGCAGAGAAACTGGAAGCACTCCTCAAAAGCAAATACTACAATCTATACTAATATTATTATTATAAAGAGGTAAGTTTGTAAGTTTGTATGTAGGGTAATCTTTGGAACCGCTGGTCGGATTTCCAAAATTCTTTCACTGATAGCTACAATGTTCCTGAGTGCTATAGGCTATAATAGCTACAATGTTCCTGATTGCTATAGGCTATAAAACATCACGCTACGATTAAATAGAGCCGAGCAGCGGGTGAGACCGCGCGAGAGTAGCTAGTAATAGATAAAAATATTAAGTGTTTCTCTTTTTGGTTGAACCTGTCTTCAGCAAGAGGGTGAAAAAAATTGGCAATCTAAACAAAAAATATTTTCTTTTAGTAAAGGTTGGTACAGGTGCTTAAATTGGCGCTAACTTGTCTGTTTTAATTACCTAAAATCTAATCTGAAGTCAGTATCAATAGACACATCATCTTGAAGCCAATGGGAATCCAGTGAGTCTTCCAGCACATCAGCTTCTTCTTCTATTACTTCTCTGATGATCCGAGCTTCAGTGTCGGGCATCTCTTCTCCTTGTAGAATATCCGTCATGAAGTTACGTATACTTGTGCATGTTGACTCTGAAATGAGAGACAAGAAAAGTTATTCTGGAGAATTGGAGATGGGGGGAAGACAAGGCCTCCTGTAACATGACTCAGACAATGAAACACAAAACAAATGTTATTCACAGCAGTTTTCTGTGAGTCAAACCATGCCCAAGCATAATTTAAGTTAATGTGTGAATGTTTTAAATATGTACTTTTTACAATGATGATGATTATTCATTATGCCAAGAACTAATATTACCATTGTCATCATCTCTCTTTTGAGTAGCTGGAGTACTATTTCCACTTGCTAGTGGCAGCCTGAAATATTAGAATAGAAAAAAGTGTTAGTTCAAATACTTATATGTTATTACCAAATTATAGATATAACATATATCTTAAACACAATAAACAAAACTTAGGGCGTCTAATTTTCAGAGATATAAATAAACTAACTACACATTGACTGCACGGTAGGCGCGGTGGCTGGGCAACTGGCTTCCGCGCAACGTGTCGCGGGTTCGATTCCCGCACGGAACAACTCTTTGTGTGATCCACAAATTGTTGTTCCGGGTCTGGGTGTGATGTGTATGTAGAATTGTATGTTTGTAAACGCACCCACGACACAGGAGAAAATCCTAGAGTGGGGCAACGTTTATTTTAAAAAAAAAAAAAAAAAAAAACTAATTAGAAAATATTATATTCTGGACCTTTCTTACAATCAAATTTTTTGGTTTCTCTAAAAACTGAGCATACAAGATGTAAATATGTAAGCAACATTAGTCCAGTATTACTAACTCAGGGGTAAGTAGATTAGTCAATTAGTGGGTCCAAGCAAGAAAACAAGTGCTCCCAACTAGAAGTACCCCGTGACTGAGTGAGAGGCACTACAATCAGAGTTTACTAGAAGCAGTTGGTGGAGACCTATTTTATAAGATTAGTTAATAAAAAATGGGTCATAATGGTAAAACCTTCCTTGCATGCGAAGTAAAACCCAAGTCGTTATATGTCTTGTTTGTAATTATAGAACTATTAAATTGCTATTGAACTGTTACGGTGAGGTTACCAGAGGCCCAATCCCTTTTTCTCCCCATTTCTACCCAATCTAAACCTTCTGCTCTGCTCTAACTAACTTGTAGCTAACTGCTCTGGTTTTACAGGTGTCTATGGGCAGTACTGGTTGCTTACCATCAGGTTAATATGTTTGCTCATTTGCCATCCTATTACATATAAAAACTAACTATATAGCATTACACTTACCGGAATGTTAAAGCGTCATCACTGTTTTTAAGGAATGTATAGAAATCTATGGGGTCCCCTACATCTTTCAACGCTTTGTAGTTCTTAAATTGTTTATCTGAAGTCCGACATTGTTTCTTGAACTTACAAGCTTGTTTCATATTGAGGAAACAATCCTTGCATAGCTGGAATATGAATGTATCATTTCTTTTCACCTGAAAATAAAAATATTATTATGTACAATACCACACAGTTAAATATTTATTTTATTTACTTTATTAAGTAAATACAGGGATTTAAATATCATCTCTTTTTATTACTTAAAATGTGTGATTAACGGCACCACTGACTGCTTATCATCTGAATTTTGGTGTGGTAGTAAGCAATGTATTAAGATAAAAATAAGAAAATATCTATATCTGTACTGTTTGGCTGAAACTGGCTTTATAGATATAAAGGCAGTGTTATGTTTATGAACGGAATGAATAGTAAAGGTTAATGACGGTAATTACAGATTAAGTTACAATGACCAAGCATAACGCTGTAGTCAAAGGTTCAATAAAAACATAATAAAAAAGAAATATTTTTTAAAAATTGTGAAAATGTTGCATATATCTTTTCATACCTAGATGTTTATAAAATGGAAGAATTTTAGGAAAATTGTTACAATCAGTAGTTTAAAACGTACATCAGAAGTTTGGTATTAATTTGTTTTTATGAGTAATAATGAATTCTTCAAGTACCTGTAACCCAGTGGAATACACAAACAATCTTCTATATTTCTCCGTATACTGTAGTAGCTCCATTGGATCATTGTATTTTACAAGACAACCTCTGCAAAATCCCTCCATAGTTTCCGGTTTGTTATTAGTCTCGTTTCAATGTTAGCTTAATCTAGGTATAAAAGATATAAATATTTTTATCACAAGATTCAGATCACTGTGCTTATTTGAATAAAAGACATATTTGAACTATATTTAATTCATATTTTCGGCTCTGTTAATGTCTTCAAAGTGCAATAAACAACTAAACAATCCAAAATATCAACAAATGTCCTAATGACAGCGACAACGATGACAAGTGACATTTCCTTTTTTAAATTAATATTTAGCTATCCAGCAAAAGCAGAAGCACGCAATATCAACAATATAAATATAGCTTGATGACATCTAACATAAAAAGGCCTATCAATAAAATAATCATCTTTTGGTCTAAAGATTTTAATTCTACTCTGATAGAGGCTTCATTCCTTTATATCCGTATCCTATTCGAAGGTTTTTGTTTTTTTTAATGTAATAGGTCGGCGAACGAGCAGACGGATTACCTGATGGTAAGCAATCAGCGCCGCTCATGGACACCCGCAACGGAGGAGTTACGAGTGCGTTGCCGACCTTTTAGGGATTAGGGATTTGGAGATTTAGGAACTGGGGAGGGATTAGGGAAGGGGAAGGATTGGGCCTCCGGTAACCTCACTCACACGGCGAAACACAACACTGGTTGTTTCACGCCGGTTTTCTGTGAGGCCGTGGTATCACTCCGGTCGAGCCGACCCATTCGTGCCGAAGCATGGCTCTCCCACACTTAAAGGTAGCTTGAAAATCGAATTTATCTTATTTAATTGTAAATCTGTTTCGGATATTTCATTTAAAGGAGTTTCATATGTTAAATCAATAATATTATTAGTAAAAATGTCGTAATAGGTTCCAAGCGCTCAGCATACATTAAAATGTGGCTAACTCACACTATTTTCATATTTGTCTCTTTTTCACTCGCGATTATTGAATCATGCCATTTCAATTTGACGTCTAAACATACGAATTGTTCAAGTGTGTACCAGTGTGTAGTTTTTGAAAATCAAATTTTGTTTAGGTAACTTATCTACACCATTTTACAATAATATCATTGTGTATAATACTTACAATCATCACTAACAAGGAATAAATTCGGGCATAAAATAAGAACGCTAAGAATAAGAAATAACAAACCTGGAACTCATTGAACGCCTAATGGAATGACGTCTCACGTCATTCGCTAGATATAAACAGTGACGACGAGTTGACAAGTTGACAACACACAACATTGTGCTTGCTTGAAAATATTTTAAAATGGAAAATAGTTCTGAAGTTCAAGTTACAATTAAAAAACCTGGAAGGGTTCTGCATTTTAGCGATGGTGTTGAAGAAGAAATAGAAGAAGAGGAAGTTGCGGAGTTAGCTAGCGAACCACAAGAAACCGATGTTGATCCGGTGAGTAACAAGTGCTTTGTTTATTTTATTACCTCCAGCTAAGGTAAGGCCTTGATGTTATTCGTTTCTAATAATATCAATGACGGTAAAGTTCCGCTTATAATCCGGTATTTGATTTACGCGTTCTGTTTAGTTAATTTCATCTGCATACAAACGAATGCAAACGTTTTTCAATATTGTGCTATATGTTCTGTTTTTATTTACTCTTTGTTCTTATTTTTTTAGTTCTTATGTTTGCTTATTCATACCATCAACCTCCCTATAAGGTGTTAAGATTTTTGTTTTGTAATATGTTTATTATCTGTTATAAGTATATTGATGATGATGTTGATCATTGCCCAAAATTAATGTAAAGGCTAATGAAAAAAGGTCACTTGTACAAAAAAATATCATACCACAGTTATCAGTTCATATTATAATTATATCAAATGCTTATTAGTAATAACAATGTTCATCCATTTCAGAAAACTTTGCAATGGGGTCCCTGGTTCTCCCATTACGCATGGAAGTCGGGTAATAAAGTTCTGAATGCAGTTGACTATGCTGGTGAGTCACTGGCTAGTTTCTTTGGTATTACCACACCAAAATACCAAATAGAAATTGATGAATATGAAAGAATGAAAGAAGAGAAACGGAAAATGGATGAAGACTCTGCTGGTTGGGTGCCTAAGAACGGTGGTGGAGACATACCTTTAGTTCTTAATGAACCTGTCAAGGACAAAGCAGAGGTTTAAAAAATCATAGACTAATCATCTACTTCTCTTTGGACTTATCAGTATTGGTATTCTTATAGTGACATTATTTATATTAGTTTAAGATTTATTTTTCAACAACCTGTAAAATAATGAATATGTATTTTATTTAGTCTGTGATTAGGTGGTTATTTTGTCAGTTGTTTGTTTTATTTCGAAAATTAAAATGAATTGCAACTGCTAAACTTCTGAGAACATAAATTTGTTTAAATAAATTAAACAAAGCCAATTTAATTATGACAAAATTTATTTTATATATTTAATTTATCAGTGTAAAACAGTTTTATACTAACACAGTTATTTATGTATGTGATTAAATCTATGTGCTAATGTTATTCACATGTTATAATGAGGGACTGAATGTATTAGAGCTTTATTTTGTTGTACATATTGATAATAAAAATAATATTTAACTCAATAAATTTTATTTTATTTTAAACTTCGAATATAAGTATTTATCCTCTTTATTAGTATTTCGTTCCCTGCTTCCAGTAGTATGTAACATCAAGTTAAAACCTACTTAAATTATTTTTTTCTTAGAATTAGAAGCACAACAATCCAATAAGTTTTTCCAATCCAATATTTGCTAATAAGAATATAAATCCGGAAATAGCGACATCTGTTATCAAACACAAGTTTTAGTAAAAACGACATCTATTAACTAGTAGCTAACACTAATTGAACTAAGGTTTCACTCTAGTTGAAGTAAGTGTCGCTAGATGTCAACGTAATGGCTACTTTAAAACCCTTTATAGTTAATAGGTTCAAGGCTGGGATTAATATCTTATCATTTTTTATGCAAAAACATTCAAACAGGGAAGTTAGTGGTTGGTACTATTTTCCCTGTATGCGACATTCAAAATGTTATAATGAAGGACAAAACATTTAACAATAATATAATATAAGTAGTCCTGTTCCTGATGCGACTGTTTCAAACAGGGAAAATAGTATAAATAACTAACTTCCCTCTTGAATATTTTTGGGCATAGAAGTATTTTTAGTAGTTCTGATTTTTGTTAATAAAATTTTCAATAATCTTTATTTAGTAAATTCAATGTCAACGACCTTATGGACTGAGCAAGAAGGTCCACTATCGCGCAAAGGCCACACACATTATAAATTACACCGATTCTAAAGAGTAAAACGTGGTATACGACACGAATTTCTTTTTCCAATTTTAGACCATGTATCTGAGGAATAAAGTTGATAGTCGCTTGGCAATTAACATATGTTATTGTTTGTCGGTGTTTAGCATGTGATATGTCGAAATGTAAACGGTTCGAGCGGTGTCCGCAGATCAATATGCGTGTTGCGCGGCCCGTGAGGGTGTTCGCCCCGTGCGATTGGCCGGCGTGTGGGGGGCGGGGCGAGCGTGTGTGAGGCGGCGCACGTTCTTGCACGCGACGCGCCGTTTTGGCGCCAAATTGGGCAATAGGCATTCCATTTTCAAGTTTCACGAATGAGTATTAGGCTGTAAGCCACTAAGATAAGCTAAGGCCGTTGACTAGGGTAATATTTTTTAAATTTTATCGTCTATGGTAAGACTTGTATGGTTCAGAATTAAAGTTTAGGGACCTATTCGTACTTTCTAATATTTTGTAGTACCTAAGTAGGTACTTAGTAGATAGGAAGGTAGCTACTTTTAAGTTACGCAAAACATTAATTTTAGTTTATTGTGGGTAGGTACCTACCTATCTTTTAAGTTAGTTGTAGTAAGTAAGTAGCTAGATAAGTATTGGTCAGTGAAGTCTTTAAGTAGGTAACTCATTACATACCTAAATTGTGCAAAGCACCACACACATTTAAAATGAAAAAATAAGAAGATACCTAAGTACTTACTAAGTGTCCATACACGGAGTATGGACACTTACCTACGCCCGGTTTCTGAAAGCCTTGTCAACGCTAAAATTAACTAATCTCCTGTTAAATCTCTTGTCAAGCCATCTGATTGGTTGTTGATAATTCAGTCAACCAATCATGACTTGACAAGAGATTAAATTGATTTTAACATTGATAAGCCTTTCGGAAACCGGAGGTTAGTATCTAATTACTGTTACCTAACCGTCGTTCTTCATCTGATTTATAAGGAGACTAACACAATCAGACTTTCATGCATGTAGATTAAAGTTTACTTAGATTAGATTAGAATCCCATCGATGTCACATATTTGTTTGCGGGTGCAAGCACAATGTTGTAGGCCCCGACCTGGTGCAAGAGAAGCATCGGGGTGGTTTGTGGTATCTAAGCTCCCGTTCTAATCTAAGCTATCGCTCTCATTCTCACCCAAGGAGAAGTTGCGGGCTGCGGGGCAAGCGCACTGAGGCTCTGCGGCCTAGAGCAGGAGAAGGAACAGGTAATTTTAGTCAGTAAGTACTTCAAAGTCCGACACTCCCATCCGACCCTAGGCGGGAGAAGTGATTTGATGATTTTCCCCCACAAAAAAAAAAACCAAGGAAAAGACAATTGATGATTTTCCTCAGACAAAAAGCCCCTGCTTCCGAGGCTGGAGGTCAGCATCAAGCACCTACCTTCTCCTAGCGTTAATTATAAGTATACCTACCTAAGTAGGTATGTAGGTAAGTTTTCTTTTTTCTGAACCCTTTTGCATTAGATATGGCTATTTATAAGGTATTATAAGGTAGGTACCTACCTAAAGCTAGTCAAAAATGAGGAAGGTCTGAATGTTGTGTAAACTACGAAGAGTAGGTAGGTACCATTAAGTATTAGATGTCCGCCTGGTGCCCCAACATAATGTGACATATTTTACTTATAATTTTTCCAACAAAGTCTTTTTGTAAGTTTACCCCAATACCAAAAAATGCTAAAATAAGTACCTATCTACTAGTTTCTGTACCTACCCACCCATTTAGGAAAAACCTTTCATAATGTAAAGCCCAAATTGTGGGCTCTACAATATCCACGACATGATTTACGTTTTTCATCCATTCATTACAAAATTTACTGCAAACGCGTATAATTATTAACTAATTCAATAATTCGTTAACACTGCAGGTCATTCCAGACAATATGGCACGGGACAATAAACACGCACCAAGGTTGCCAGTTTAAAAAATATTGCGAATTAAAAAGGCGCGTGGTCAGCGGTCGAACGAGTTTTATTTTTTTAAATAGAATAAACTTGAATTTCTGGTTTTTGGCTCGCTTCTTCTATTGTGTCAGAATTTTGCGCGAATTTGCCAAACATAATGATTTTCTATAGATTTTGAACTAGTTTTCTAGTGTACGGTTGGAAACGTGTTAGTTTTGTAGTTCTATGGTTGTCAGGGAATTATTGCGAATTCTATGGGTTGGTCAGATGTAGACGCACGTGGATTTTATTAAAGAATAACAAAACGGGTTCTATGCACGTGCTCAATCAATCTATTTTTGGGTAACCAATGAATTAGGAAAACTACTTATTTTAAAGCTTAAATTTGAACAACTTTATTTTGCTTCACTCGTTGGGTCTATGCACCATGTACCCACTACATTTTCATAGTGAGACATAGGTTCACCCATGTAAAAAATATCTTATAACATATTAATAATTTCTTAGGCGTGGCGGTGGTTAATGATTCGACAAACTTTATCCGTGTAAGAAGAGGCCTAAGTAGGTAGGTAGGTAGGTTACATAGGTACTTAGCAGTGACCGCATAGTGTCGACGATAGTGATGACATGTTTTATCTAAACCTTAATATTTTTTTAGGTGGGCAAATTTACTTACTTATATAGGTAATTATATATGTAGGTACATATAGGCATCCATGCATACACGTGTAAATGGTAGATGGGCTTAAGAAGTTTTAGGGCTTATCTTCACGTTAAAATTCATATTTATCATAGCAAAGAACACTAAGCTTCTAAATTTGAAGCAAATCAAATGGGATACATACATGTTAATAAAACTTTTTATCCTTTTTCAATCCACACAGGTAGAATGCAACGCTAATTCTATCGATATTCAAATTTTTGCGCAAACGGTCTTTCCGACCCCACACAGCAGATGTTCTACTTTTAACTTTGCATGCATTCGCAATGTTGTTTATTAAAAAAATCTTTTGTGGCCATTTACAAAATAAAGCTTGCAACACAATACCTCATGCAAATTAGGACCGAACTCGATACGACAGGTCATAAATGCATTAAAATAATTTTGCAAATTTCAACTTTATAAACGTGCAAAAGCTTTCAAATTGAACTGCATAGCGTTAAACTTTTTATTGCAATGCATAAAATCGTAACAACCAACCTTGTTGTCTACGCGATAAGACTTAAAATTGCACAGTGTATGCAGATTAAGAGAGAAATTTGCATAAACGACGCACACCTTTCGCGTTTGATCCTTTTTATGCAATTTGACTGACAGCTTTTATTGAATAGCCGATATTATTAGAATTTGTATTTACTGTTATTGGTGTCTATATACGAGTACTTATATACAAGTTCCGATTTAATGCAGATTATTTATATTATTTTGGCACATAGATACTTTATAGTACTTATAAACAAATAACAAAAAATAAATAAATAGGTTTTGATGAACTATGCAGGCTGACTATAAAATGTAGGTAAGTAAAATTAAAAAAAAACACACTGTTACTGAACACGTTCGAATTTCGAACAAACAAAAAAATAAATCTTTATAATCGGCCTTACTTTAAAAACAAGCATTAAAAAAGTTTGTATATCCAAATTACGTCCGTTGGACTCGAAACACCTTAAAATATTAGTGGTGGGTTTTGCTTGAGTAAAGTAGAGTAAGTTCATGACTGGGGCCAGAGCTCATCTAAGATGCACATCTGTAGCACCGCTAGTTACACACGAGGGGAACATTTCCGGTGCATAAATAATAACAATAAATTGTTAACCATTAGAAAGGGGTGTGTTTTGTATGCAAAATAGTTGTAGGTTCGTTGCAATCGTTGGTAATTTTTGCATCGTGCGTGCGTTTACTGCTTGGTTTGGCCGTTGTTTGATAAGGATTCGCTGTTTTGTTAATCAATC